CGGTCGACCAGACCAAGATGGACGAAGTGGAAGCATGCGCCCTGGCCAAGTCACGTGAAGAGCGCCGCACCGTAACGCACTTCCGTGGCGACCACATTTACGAGGCTGGCAACATCCGGTTCGGCGTGGAATTCCGCGACAACATCGGCGCGGCCAATGACCGCGGCGTTGCCATTCACGTGCTGACCGACCATCTGGGCCAGGAGTTCGAGCTCCTCGCGTTTGACTGCTTCGAGATCGCGCCCCACTACCACTACGGCCCGCGTAACCAGGACGTACGGATCTATTGGGACACGACCACGAGCGGTCACACTCTGGCCTGGACTATCGACCAGTTCAAGGCAGGCAACCTGTCCACCATGATTGAGCGAGCCGGCTACCCAACCGTAGCACAGGGGCTCGACAACAATCTGGTCCAGGCTGTCATACCCTCTATGGAAGAGAAGGCCTGGGCGCTGGTAGGCACCAACCAAAAGTAACCACCAACCTGACGTGCAGCAAAGTGGGTGGCTGATGCTGCCCGCGTTGTTGGCAGAGCAGAAAACTAAAGGGACGGCCCGTGGGGCCGTCTCTTTAGTTTGAATTGGCGAGTTCGCGCTACATCATGGTGTAGCCACCTGAAACGCTCAGAGTTTGGCCGGTGATGAAGCTGGCCGCGTCGGAAGCCAAGAACACCACCGCGTTCGCCACCTCCTGCGCCGTTCCCATTCGCCGCAACGGGTATGCCCGCCGTACCCGCTCCAGCACGTCTTCGGTGAAGATATCCTGCATCCCCTGCGCCCACATGCTATCGGGATTCGACACATCTTGCTGCGCCGGCACAACCAGTCCCGGGCAAACCATGTTCAACCGCAGACCATAGCGCCCGGTTTCCCTGGCGATCGACTTGCTCAGCGCGATGACCCCAGCTTTGCAAGCCGAATAAACCGCCTCGCGATATTCGCCCATTCGGCCGGCATCGCTGCTGATGCTGACGATGGAACCGGACTGCCGGTCAATCATGTGGGGCAATACTGCGTTGATGCAGTTGATGGCCCCCCAGAGGTTCAAATCCACTTCCTTTACGTGTTCGTCCCGGGATTTTTCCACGAACAATCGGTCGATGGTCCAGCCTACGTTATTGACCAGCACGTCCACTCCACCCAGGCGGCTGACCAATTCAGCCATCATGGCGTCAGTCCTTGCCTTATCGGTAACATCCGCATCGACCACGATGGCCGTTGCGCCGTTGTCCATCGCGTTCACCTCGGCGGCCACCTGTTCCCCGGCGGTGCGGTTCAATTCCGCGATGGCAACGTTGCTTCCCTCGACCGCGAACGCCAGCGTGATAGCACGGCCGATGTTGGTGCCCCCTCCGGTCACCACGACATTCTTGCCTTTCAATCCTAACTCCAACCTGTTACCTCCAGTTATGATTCCCTTCCAGCATGTTGCGCAGGACATATAAATTTTCGACATCGGCACGGTTGTATTCCAGCAGCAGGTCCAGCGCGTCCTTACTCTGCTCGTTGATATATTTTTGCCAAAGCAGCACGGCGTCATACCCATCAACATCGGGCAAAGAGCGCTGAATCCCCAACGATTTTTCAATGCGCTTCAGGCCACCCCGCAACCCGGCCCGCCGGCACCACTGCATCAGGTCCCGGTGGTCCAGCGACCGGCGCAGATCTACGCCCGGTTTCCAGGCCAAATACGGAAGATCGAAGCCGGCTCCGTTGAACGTGTAAACGGTGGTGACACCTTCCAGGACGTGCCGGATCGCATCAGCGGTGATATCCGCGCCAACCAGCTGCTCCACGAACCAGTCGCCTGGAAAATCCACCGCTATGCCCACCACTGTGGGATAGGATCTGCCAATGAATCCCGTAGTTTCGATGTCCAGGTAAGCATCCACCGGGATCTTAGTGTCGGAAATGCCTCACGCCGGTGAACACCATCGCAATACCGGCCTCATCAGCGGCCGCAATGACTTCGTCGTCCCTGATGGAGCCGCCCGGCTGGACAATGGCCGTGATTCCCGCTTCGGCTGCCAGCTCGATATTGTCGGGGAAGGGGAAAAACGCGTCGGACGCCAACACGCACCCAGCAGCTTTGTCTCCAGCGGCCCGCTGGGAAAGATGCACGCTGACCACGCGGTTCGGTTGGCCAGCTCCCATACCGACCAGTGTTTTGTGTTTCACGAACGCGATCGCGTTGGACTTGATGTGTTTCACCGCCGTCCATGCGAACGCGAGATCATCCAGTTCGGCTGCGGTTGGCGCCCTTTTCGTTGCGGTAGTCCATTGGTTTCGGTCCTCAACGATGGCGTCGTGTGTCTGCACCAGTACTCCGCCGCTCAACAGCCGCACGTCGTAATCGGCGGCCCCGGCTCCGGCCACGGCCGGCTGAACCGTCAAAATCCTGAGGTTGCGCTTGCGCCGCAACGCCGCCAATGCGTCGTCGTCGTAGGCCGGAGCCACTACGACCTCGTAAAACACCGGGTCCATTGCCTTGGCCGCTTCCGCGGTGACGGGACGGTTGAATCCTACGATGCCGCCGAAGGCGGAAACCGGGTCGCCTTCGAACGCCAATCGATACGCTTCCGCCACATCGGGCCGCGAAGCCAGGCCGCAGGGATTGGCGTGTTTGATAACGCACACCGAGGAGTCATCGTAATCCGACACTATGCGCCAGGCAGCGTCGGCGTCCATCAAGTTGTTGAACGACAACTCCCGACCATGCAGCTGCTGGGCCCGGGCGATTCCACCGGAGCCTCCCGACACTGGCAGATACAGCGCGCCCCGCTGGTGGGGGTTTTCGCCGTAGCGCAAGGTGGACACGCGCGATAGCCCGATAGTCACCTGCCTGGGCATTTCCTGTTCAGCGGCTGGGTCTTCCGCCAGATAGGCGGCAACGGCGGCGTCATAGGCGGCCACATGCTGAAAAGCTTTCGCCGCCAGTGATCGGCGCTGCTCCGAATCCAGGCCGCCGGCCGTCAATCCATCGGCCACCCATTCGTAGTCCTCAGGGTCTACCACCACCGCCACGTCCGGATAGTTCTTGGCTGCCGCCCTCAGCATGGTGGGCCCGCCGATATCGATATTCTCCAGCGCGTCGTCCAGGGTGACGCCAGGCTGGCTGATGGTTTCAACGAATGGATACAGGTTCACGACAACCACGTCGATGGCGTCTATTCCGTGATGTTCCAATTCTGCCATGTGGTCGGGCGAACCACGGCGGGCCAGCAATCCCCCGTGGATCGTGGGGTGCAGCGTTTTGACACGGCCGTCCAGAATTTCGGGCGAGCCGGTTACGTCCGAAACCTGTTTTACCGGTACGCCGGCGTCCGTCAGGCTCTGCGATGCGTGCGGCCAGTGCTGATCAACTCGATGCCGGCTTTGGTCAATCGCCGGCCCAGGTCTTCAATGCCGGTTTTATCGTAAACGCTCAATAAGGCTTTCACAGTATCGTTTCCCCTTCGATTTGCATGAATATGCGTGAGTTTCCTGGCCTCGATGCACGTGGCGGTTATCTGGTCCGATCGGGCTGGGAGCGGCGATCGATGCTCGCCGTCCTATGGGTTACGCACCACCGAAAATCAAACGCGCGTCGCCCGTACGGGCAACTACCCGTCCAACGTCAACCGCATCAGAAACACCCTGCATCAACTCGACCGCCCCGGTCTCGTCGCACACGGCGACCATACCCAATCCCATATTGAAAACCCGGTACATCTCATGGTCGCTTACATTTCCAGCACGCTGGATCGCATCAAATACCGGCAACACCCGCCAGCTACCCGGTTGGATTTCGGCCGCCATGTTATCGGGCAACACGGAAGGTAACTTGCCCGGTAGTCCACCGCCCGTGATGTGGCTTAGCGCCTTGACACTACCCCAGGAATGGCTCCAGGAGTGGGTAATAGGCCCGGTGACGCACCATCAGCTCATCGCCAAGATTTCTGCCCAGGCCATCGGGTTTCCTAAACAACGCCTCAGGATCGTTGTCCAGATTGAACACCTGGCGTACCAGGGAGTATCCGTTGGTATGCACGCCACTGGAGGGGATTCCAACCAACCTGTCTCCCGGCTGGATGGCGCTGCCGTCCAGCAACTGGCTTCGTTCGACCACCCCAACCACAAAACCCGCCAGGTCGAAATCTGCATCGCTGTAGACTCCCGGCAGTTGGGCAGTCTCGCCGCCGATCAAAGCACAACCGACCTCCCGGCACCCCCAGGCCATGCCGCGCATCAGCATCTCCAGACGATGCTCGTCCATCGCGCTGAATGCAACGTAGTCCAGGAAAAATAACGGACGGGCGCCTTTGGTTAGAATATCGTTGACGTTCAGGGTCACCAGATCCTGCCCCACACCTTCGTAGTGACCGAGTTGGGCCGCGATTTTCAACTTGGTGCCCACGCCGTCGGTGCTGGCCACCAACACGGGTTCTGCTAAACCCGACAACGCGAAAGGCCCGCGAATCCTCCGCTTTCCAGGACCTGGGGACCATGCGTCATCGCCGCAAACGCCTTGATTCGGTCTTTCAGTCCATCCATTGCGTCGAGGGACACGCCGGCGCCCTCGTAGGTGCCTGATGAGGTCATGCTGCGGACCCTGGCATTGGGATCAGGAACCGGTGCGGTCCAGCGACATTTTCCCCAGATCCAGTTGCACCGGAACCGGATAGTTCCCCGTGAAGCAGGCGTCGCAGAACCCCCCCTGTTGACCTCGCACCAGACCTAGCAAACCGTCGACGCTCAAATACCCAAGGCTGTCCGCGCCGGTGATTTGGCGAATCTCGTCGATGCTGTGTTTGGCCGCGATCAACTCATCCCGGGTCGCCATATCCACGCCCAAATAGCAGGGGTGCCTGATCGGGGGCGCACAAACCCGCAAATGCACCTCGCTGGCGCCGGCCCGGCGGAGCAGCTCCACCACATGCGGAGTCGTCGTGCCCCTCACGATGCTATCGTCGACCACCACCAGCCGTTTGCCGCGCAATATGGACGGCATGGGGTTGAACTTTTGGCGGACGCCACGGTCCCGCCGCTGTTGCTCGGGCTCGATGAACGTGCGACCCACGTAGCGGTTACGCACCAGCCCGTTGGCAAAAGGTATACCCGACTCACGGGAATATCCCACCGCCGCCGACGTAGAAGAATCCGGTATCCCGATCACCAGATCAGCTTCCGCGGGGTGTTCTTTCGCCAACCGCGCTCCCATCTCTTCACGGGCGCTGTGCATCAATTGGCCGTCCATGATGCTATCCGGGCGAGCGAAGTAAATCCACTCGAAAACGCAAAGGGCGCGACCGCGGCGGGCGGATCCACTGAAAACCTCGGAGGTGATCCCACTATGATCGACAACCAGGACCTCGCCGGGTTCCAGTTCGCGTACGAATTCGGCCTGCATGTGATCCAGAGCGCACGTTTCTGAGGCCACCACCCAACCGTCTTCGAGACGGCCGAGACACAACGGCCGGATGCCCAGTGGATCGCGGGCCGCGATCAGCGAGTCTGGCGTAAGGATGGACAGTGAGAATGCGCCCTGCATGATGCGCATACCGTAAAACAGCCGCTCCGCCCACGTCGCGCCCGGGGCGTTGGCCAACAGGTGCGCCACCACTTCTGTGTCGGTGGTAGTTGCAAACTCGCAACCCCAGCGATTCTCTGCCTGTTCGCGCAATTGAACGGCATTGATGATGTTGCCGTTGTGGGCCACCACCAGCGGACCATTCAATCCGTCCACCTTCAGGGGTTGCGCGTTGCGGGCGTCGCTCGAGCCCGTGGTCGAATAGCGCGTGTGCCCGATGCTGAGTTCGCCGGGCATATCGTCCAGGTCTACGTCGGAGAAGGCTTCGGACACCAGGCCCATCCCGGTATGTACCCGCAGGGAGCCTTCGTCTGAAACGGCAACCCCGGCCGATTCCTGCCCTCGGTGCTGCAGCGCGAAAAGTCCTATCGCCGTGGTCGGAGCCGAACGGCCGCCGGGCGAATACACGCCCACAACGCCACACTCTTCTCGAGGGTGGTCGAAGGGTCGCGCATTTCCGGTGCCGGAAAACCAGAAGATCATAGCTGCATTCTATTTTGCGTCCCGATTTGGGTCAACGCTTCTACGTCGACTGGATTCCATTGTAGTCCCCGGGAGACGAAAACCAAAATGCAATTTGCGATTTCCCGGAAACTCGATTTACTCTGTGAAGGCCCCCAACTAATCTCGCTCCGGAATGATCTGAACTTTGCGGCTCTCACCGTAGCCAACGCTTTCAGTTCGTATGCCGCCGCGTTCGTCCAGAAACATGTGGATTATCCGGCGATCCGAAGGTGTCATGGGCTCCAGGGTGATGCTGCGGCCGGTTTGCGCCACACGATCCGCCACGCGGTCGGCCATTTCCCGCAGGGAATCTTCCCGTCGCTGCCGGTATTGCTCCACATCCAGCGACACTCGAACGTCCTGGTTCAACTGCTGACGGACGATGCTCTGGACGATAAACTGCAATGACTGCAGGGTGTTGCCTCTCCGCCCGATGAGCAACCCGGAATCCGGGCCGTTGATGTCAATTACGGGCCCCCCGGCCGCCTCATCGTGTTCTGCCCGTAACGTAACGTCTACCTCGGCTCCCACCATATCGAGAATACGCTCCACGGATTGCACGGCCAGTTCGGCGGGCGTACCCGCCGCCGGGGCAGCTGCCTCCCGGCCGGAATCCGGGGCTTCTCCGTCGGGTTCCGATTCAGCCTCCGCCTCATCGTCACCTTCGGGGACCGGATCTGTAACAAGGAGCGTTACGCGGACTTCTGCCAGTTCACCGCCTATGCCCAGAAATCCCTGGCGTCCCCTACTTAGTATTTCGACCTCCACCTCGCTGTGGTCTGCGTCGAGCGCTGCGAGTGCCAGGTCTACGGCCTCTTCTACGGTCCGACCGGTTTGCACTACTTGATCCATCGGCTACATTCTCCTGTGGGTCGGGCGCCGCCTCAGCGGGACCAGCGTCTGCCGGCCCCGCGGACCGGCGCGGGAATAGAGGGAATAGCGGCCCCCAGCCCGTGATAAAGTACTGGATTCCTATTCCGATGAGATTGGATACTACCCAATACAATGGCAATCCGCTGGGCCATCCCAACGAGAACGCCGCCAGAAATATGGGCATCATCCACAACATCATCGTTTGGCTGGACTGTTGACGCGGATCCGGCGAGGGCATCTGCGTCATCTTTTGCTGTACCCAGGTTGAAACCGCAACCAAAATCGGCATCACGATCGGCGAAGGGTCCGGCAAGCTCAAGTCCAGCCAAAGAAAATGGCTGTTCACCGGGGCCGCGGCGTGAATGGGCACGAACGTAATCCACGGGTACAGCTTGCCTGACAACTTCACCAGGTCTTCCGGGTTGTTGAACAACGTTTGTATCAGCACCCGGAATAACCCGATCAATATGGGCATCTGTATGATCAGCGGCCCCAAACAACCGATGGGGCTAACCCCGGTTTCCCGATACAACCTCATGGTCTCCTGGGAAATCCGCGACCGATCGCCGGCGTAACGTTGCTGTATCTCCCGAACCCTCGGTTGCAACCCCGTCATCGACCGCATCTGCCGCAACTGTCGCACCGTAAGCGGGATCGTCAGGACTCGCACCATCACCGTAAACACGATGATGGCAATTCCCATCTGGGAAAAGCACACAACGTACAACACCATGAGGGCATTGAGCATTGGGCGAATGATTACTTCGTTCCAAAGCAATCCAAATATGGACAGAAATTCCACTATTACCTGCTCTGTGCGACTATCGCCTGAACGACATATCTGTGTACTGCTGTATTCTCAATCATTGGACTAGTTGCATCGGGCCTGTTCGGTAGTGTCGAAGCACCACAGTATATTGATGCCGGACACCACCTGAACCCGACGGACGGTGCCATCGTCTGAGCCGATATACACCGAATCCGTCGGCGTCGACGGCAGCCCAACCGCGTTTTTCACCACTGCCAACGGCGCTTTAATCTCTGCGTCACCCACCGTTAGCGATGCTATCTCCCGCGATGGGCCGTGATCGGTCCCGGACGCTCGCAGTACCGACAGTTTGCCGTCCACCGACGCCACCACCAAACCGCGCTCCAGTAAAACCGGACTCGCAACTACCGGAGAACCCATGTCATGCTCCCACAGCAACTGACCGTTCTGGTCCAGGGCATACACTTTGCCGTCCATGGCGGGCGCCCATATCACGCGCTCCGAGGCAACCGGGGTTGCCCACCACCAATTGCCGGCCTCAAACTGCCATGCCAGCGCCCCGCTTTGCAGGCTGAGCGCATACAACTGACGGTCGAACGAGCCCACGATCAACAAATTCCCGTGGATCAGGGGTTTTCGCCACCACTGCTCCACCGGTTTGAAACTGCCATAGCAACTCGCCGGTCGCCAGGCTCACTGCGTAAACCGCTCCGTCCTGGGATCCAAAATAGACTACCCCGTTTTGGAGCACCGGCGTTGACCAGATTTCGCGTTCGGTTCGGTACGGCGACCAGGAGAGCGCTGCCCCGGTAATCGCATCGAAGGCATAAAGACCCCCATCTTCGGACCCAACCGCTATTATCCCTCCCGCTTCGTCCAGGGCCGCACTGCCGACCAGCGGCACCACATCATCCTCCGAAACAACCGGCGGGTTGCGCCATGCCGTTTCCACTGCGCCGGCAGTCGCGGGAGGATTCAAAGCGTAAATGTGCCCGTCAATGGCGGACACGTACAAGTAACGGCCAATCGTAGGCGACCCGTACGCCCCGCCAAACCCTTCTTCTCCGCCAACGGTCGACAACCACCGCACGCTGACCCCGTCTGAGCCGAAATCGTCCAAAGCCAATACCTGGCCGGAAAGCGTGGTTGCGTAAACCACCCCAAGGTCCGCCGCAATAGCTCCCCAACCGCGCGTCGACGCGCCCAGGTTGGGAGTGCAGCCCGCCGCACCGGCTAACAACAGCATCGTCAACGCGAGCGTCAACAGAATGGGCAACCTGAGAGCACGGCGGTACCGGCCAAATTCCAATGTCGCTATTGGATGATCGCAATCGACTCTGCGGGCCCGGTGTTTGCGGAAGGGCAGGAAGTTTTTCAACATTGATTCGGCTACACCACCGGGTCGTATCCGCTGCCACCGCGAGGGCGACAACGCAGTATTCGTTTCACACCCATCAATCCGCCTTTCAACAATCCATGAGTCGCGATAGCTTCCGAGGCATAGTGGGAGCAGGACGGTTCAAACCGGCACATCGACGGTAAATAGGGAGACACCGCCTGTTGATACAAGCGGATCACGACGATCGCGGCAGCGCTCAAGGGGCCAACCCCACCACGGTATCGGGCGGGCGACTCACGGCGGTATCCTCGCGCGGCGTGAGGGGTTCCGCAATTTTGGTGCGATGCATCAGGTTATGCACCGCCCTTTCCAGACCGTTAAACCCGGCTTCTCCTGCGCCGCGGCGGGCAATTATCACGGTGTCCCATCCGGGACGGGTAGGCGTATTGCGAACAACTTCTCGCAAACGCCGTTTGATTCTATTCCTCACAACCGCGTTCCCCACCCGTTTGCCGGCTACAAAGCAAAACCGACTCTGATCAGAGCCGTTCGGGAGCACACGGAACACCAGCAGATTATTGGCTGCACTGCTTCCATTCTGGTGAATCTCCGAAATACGGGACCCGCTGCTAAGCCGGGAACGTCTTTGCATGCGTCAGCCGAGAACGGTACTAAACAGGCAGGAAAGCGGGAACGCTAGACGGCCAGCCGATGCCGACCCTTGAAACGGCGGCGGCTCAAAACCGCGCGACCGTCAGACGTACGGGAACGGGAACGGAAGCCGTGCACGCGGGCGCGGCGTCGTTTTTTGGGCTGATAAGTACGTTTGGGCATAAACAAAACTCCGGCCACAAACTATACTGGCAAACCCCTTTTCCGTCAACAATCCCGGATCCGATTCTGCCCGGCGTTTGCTGCGAAGGCCCAATGCCCAGCGTCCAAAGCCACATCGATCCCGCGCCACAGTTACGTTGGCGGGCCAACCGCGTTATAATCCTGCCAATTCACCACATCAACGTACAACAGCATCTTACAATCCAGTTGCACCAACCGTCGCCAGCACTCTGGAAGTGACATGATGAAAGACCGCTACGAACAGGAAATCGAACAGATCCTCAACGAATTGGATGCCGAAATTCCCGATGGCAATGGTGACGGGCCCCACCCGGTGTCTCCGGTTCCGCCGCTGGATGATCGGCCTTCTCCATTTGCTCCCCAGCCCCGTCCCCGGATGCGCCTCATATCCCCCGTGAAACTCGCCCTGCTGGGGCTGATCGTGGTCGTGATCGGACTCATCCTGTTCCACCAGCCGATGTTGGCGCTGGCAGGCGTTGGTATCGTGGCATTGGCGTTGGTCTGGATGTTCATTCAGAGAATTTCATCGCAGCCCCAACAGATGTGGCGTGGCAGGCCGGTTGATCCTCCCCCTCCGCAATCTACGTGGGAGCGCTTCCGGCGCTGGCTAGCCAGGTAGACACCGCGCGCCGATGGCGGACGCCCGGGGCAGCTGAGCCGGCAACCCAACCGGCGCCCAGCGGGTTACCAGCCGACTGCGGCGCCGTCCTTTCGAGGTTCGCTACCGCCGCTGAGCACGCCCGATTCCGGATCGCGGCTGATGATCTGGCCGCCGCCCATGCCTCCGGCCCCTCCCCGATGCGGCCCGTGCATCACGTTAACGCGGTGGCCTCTACGATGCAGGTCATCGACAACCGAGTTCGCAACGTCCCCTTCCATCCACAATTCATCACCCGCAACCTGGAAACGCAGCGCGTCCAACGCCCCCTGGGAATCCATCCCGAAATCGACCATGTTGCTGATAACCTGCAAATGACCCTGCGGCTGCATGAATCCGCCCATCACGCCGTAACTCAACCACAACTCATCGTCGCGCGTCGCCATGGCCGGAATAATCGTGTGGAACGGACGCTTGCCGCCGGCCAGCGCGTTGGGATGCTCGGGATTCATTTGGAATAACGCCGCCCGGTTGTGCATGACAATGCCGGTTCCCGGCACCACGAGCCCGGACCCAAAGTTGGCGAATACGCTGTTGATCAGTGAGCAGGCGTTGCCGGCCCCATCTATAACGCTTATGTATACCGTGTCGCTCCCCGGAACCATCTTGCCGTAGGGCGCGGTAACCATCGCCTGATCCGGCTTGATCAGCGCCCGCCGCTTCGCCGCGTATTCCTTGGACGCCCACGCCCCTGTCGGCACCTCCACGGATCGCGGGTCGGCCAGATATTCAAAAGCATCTGAGAATCCCAACCGCGTTGCCTCCACCAGATGGTGATACCGGTCGGCGCTCTGCGGTCCCATGGCGGCGATATCGAAACCTTCTGCGATGTTCAGGGCCTCCAGCGCGATTATCCCCTGTCCGTTGGGAGGACATTCCCAGCAAGTGACACCACGGTAATCCGTCTTGATAGGTTCGTCCCAGTCGGAATGGTGCGATGCCAGGTCTGCTTCGGCCAGCCACCCGCCCTGTTCCTGAACAAAGTCGGCCATCGCCGTGGCAATGGGTCCCCGGTAGAAGGCTTCACTCCCGCCTTCGGAGATCGTGCGCAACGTCCCGGCGAGGGTGGGCATCTTCATCAACTCCCCTTCGCGGGGGCCCCTGCCATCTTTTAGCAATTCCTGCCCGGACGGCAGCGCTGCCAACTTGCCCTCCTGCTGCTGCCACTGGAACGCAATTATGTCACTGACCGGGAAACCGCCTTCAGCGTACCTGATGGCCGGTTTCAACACGTCGGATAACGCCATCGTTCCCTCGCCGGACAGCAGCGTCTCCCAACCGTGCACAGTACCGGGTACAGAGATCGACAAAGGCCCAACGGGTGGCATCCGGTGGTGACCTTTCGCTCGCAGACCTTCGATGCTGGCGGCCATCGGAGAACGGCCACTGCCGTTGAGAGCAACAACCTGTTTGTTTGATGCCTTCCAGACCAGGGCGAAAAGATCGCCGCCTACGCCGGTGGACATGGGTTCCACCACGTTCAGGGTGGCTGCCGTCGCGACCGCCGCGTCCACAGCGTTGCCGCCGTCCATTAATACGCGCAGGCCGGCCATCGCCGCCAGCGGTTGACTGGTTGCGACCATTCCGTTTGTCGCATGGACTGTGGACCGACGTGAATCAAAAAACATTGTTTCCGCTCCAGGTTGGGCGCTCCGAATATTCGCTCCTGAATATTCGCTCGTAAGGATGGCGGCCAGTTTAGCATGTGCCTGTTCCATACGCACCTGGAAGACCCCGGGCTATCTGCCAGGCACATTCAATGGGCAGTGGGCCACTCCGTCATCCGCCGTCAACGTGGCCCAACATGGTGGCGCTGCCGTAACCCGGCCCAAGTGTAAGCGTGTGATAATATACCCCGGATGCCTGCTATTGCCGGCACGTAAATTGCAACCAGAAAACCGCCACTGCTCGATTCGCCAATGCCACCAGGAGGTCCCTCGATGGCCATAACCGTAGGACAAGCCGCCCCAGATTTCACGCTGCATGAAACCCCCCAACAGCAACGCAGCCTCAACGAATATCGGGGCAAAAATGTGGTTCTCGCATTCTTCCCGGGTGCGTTCACCGGCGTTTGCACCACCGAAATGTGCGCCCTTCGCGACCGCATCGACCAGTTCAGCTCGATGAATGCCGAGGTTATCGGCATCACCGTCGACCCGCCCTTCGCCCAGTCCGCCTGGAAGGCTGCCAACAATGTAAATTACACCTTCTTGAGCGACTACAATCGCGAGGTCGTCAACGCCTATGACGTGGCGCTGCCCGGTCTGGCTGGAATGCAGGGTTACGTGGCCGCCAAACGTGCCGTGACCATCATCGACAAGGACGGTGTGGTTCGCTATCACTGGGTTTCCGAAAGCCCCGGCGTCGAACCCGATTACGCCGAGGTACAGGCGGCAGTGGCAGCCCTCTCGTAAGCATCCGACACCAACTGCTACGGCGAAAAACCCCGCTCCAGTATGAGCGGGGTTTTTCAGTGGATAGGCCAGTCGTGATTGATCAACCGCTCCACCACCATCTCGGTGAGCCGTGCCGCGTCCACCTCCAGGCAAACGTCCACGTTGGGCGCTCGGCCAGTCACACCGTGCCAGTCGACAACCGTTTGCCCGCGAGTCAGATCGCTGGCCGTATCAATCGAAACCGGCAGCAAGGTCGTTTGCATCAATCCGGAATCTACGGCGTACGCCACCGCCGGCACGTCGTTGTACCGCGCCGCCTCTCCCTGAGCGAACCGACCCATCCGGCGATACGCCTGCTGGATAAACCCGGTGGCCCGCACCAGAAGCTGCACGGCGGGAGCTTCGGACTGGCTCAGTTGATGCAATTGGGAGTCTGAAAACCCGCAACGATCGCAAACATCCAGCCCCACCTGCACGATTGGGACACCCGAGTCGTAGAGAACTGCCGCCGATTCGGGGTCTTCATAGAGGTTTGCCGTTGCCACCGGCGACACGTTCCCCGGCACCCGAACTGCTCCACCCATTACCACCACACACGGCCAACGCAACCGCGATTTCGGGCGCGATGCGCAGGGCCAACGCCAGATTGGTCATACGACCCAGGGCCAGTACGGTGATGTCACCGGGAGACTCCAGCACCCGCCGGGCAATTTCCACCGCCGCCCGGTTGCCCACCGGAGCATCGACCGTGTCTGCCGAATCTATGCGCGCTCCCTCTCCACCCAGAGCGTCGTCGCCGTGGATGTGCGCGGCCCAATCCGCCGTGTGGATGCGTAGCAGCGGGCCGGCAGCTCCTGGATACACCGGTATGTCGCTGCGGCCGGCGACGGCCAGGATCCGCCGGGCGTTGGCCGCGCACTGGGCCATGGAGCCATTGCCGTAGATGGCGGTTACGGCCTCGATCTCCAACTCCGGGCTGGCCAGCGCCAGCAGGATTGCAGCAGTGTCGTCCACACCGGGGTCAGCGTCGATAATCACGCGTGTCGGCATATTCGGCCACCCTCAATCCAGACAATCCGGCCAGGCAATCCGGTTTTGACGTCAGTAACCGGTTCGGGCATTATACCGTGAGCAGCATCGGCAGCTTTGTGCGGCCGGTTCGGAGGAAATCACATGGCAGTGAATGAAGTACGAGGCGTCATTTCGCGGTCTCAAGGCGCTCCCGTCGAGCTGGTCCCGATCCTGGTTCCAGACCCCGGAGAGGGTGAAACGTTGGTGCGGGTTCAGGCTTGCGGCGTTTGCCACACGGACCTGCATTATCGAGAAGGCGCGATCAACGACGAGTTTCCCTTTTTGTTGGGGCACGAGGCAGCCGGCATCGTTGAAAAAATCGGCGCAGGCGTGACCAACGTTCAGCCCGGAGACTTCGTTATCCTGGCCTGGCGCGCTCCATGCGGGACGTGCCGGTCGTGCCGGCGAGGGCGTCCCTGGTACTGTTTCGCCAGCCGCAATGCTCAGCAGAAGATGACGCTGGCAGACGGCTCCCCTTTGTCTCCGGCTCTGGGAATCGGGGCGTTCTGCGAGCTCACCTTGGTTGATGCCCTCCAGGCCGTCAAGGTGGATCCAGCCGCCAGTCCCCTGGCTGCCGGGCTGATCGGTTGCGGCATCATGGCCGGTCTGGGAGCAGCAATCAACACCGGCGGGGTATCACGCGGGGATTCCGTTGCTGTCATAGGATGCGGCGGCGTGGGCAATGCCGCTGTCGCCGGGGCCCGCCTGGCCGGCGCAAACACGATCATCGCGGTGGACATCGACGATCGCAAGCTGGAATGGGCGAGAAAGTTCGGAGCCACCCACACGATAAACTCCACTCAAACCGACGCCGTGGCCACCATCCGCGAACTCACCGACGGGAACGGGGTTGACGTTGCGATAGAGGCCGTAGGGAATCCGGTTACCTATGAGCAGGCATTTTACGCCCGCGACCACGCCGGAACGGTGGTGCTGGTCGGCGTGCCCGACCCAACCATGAAAATCGAACTCCCGCTGATCGAGGTGTTCGGGCGCGGCGGCTCTCTCAAATCCTCGTGGTACGGCGACTGCCTGCCCACCCGGGATTTTCCGATGTTGATCGACCTGTATCTCCAGGGCCGGCTCGACCTGGACGGTTTCGTGAGCGAACGTATCACCATCAACGAAGTAGAAACGGCGTTTGAACGCATGGGTCGCGGAGAAGTTCTGCGGTCCGTCGTGGTGATGTAGGGAAAGAGGTACCCAATAGCATGGCAACATTCGTACTCGTCCACGGGGCCTGGCACGGCGGTTGGTGCTGGTGGAAAGTGGCGCCGATTTTGCAGCAGGCCGGGCACACTGTCTACACACCCAGTTTGACCGGGCTCGGCGACCCGGGCACACCTCGCTTCCCTCATGCCGCCGGCGCTGCTCAACCTCGACCTGCACATCAGGGACATTGGACAGTTCCTGGAATCTGCCGATTTGACCGACGCCATCCTGGTAGCCCACGCCTACGCCGGCATGGTGATAACCGGCGTTGCTGAACGCTACCCACAACGGATTGCCGCGCTGGTTTATGTCAATGGCGTGGTGCCCGCCGACGGCGAAGCCATGGTAGACCAGTTGCAAACCGTTCGCGGTCCGGAATTCGTGGCCCGCATCCGCAATTACATTGAAAGTGGCGAACCATTCATGGCACCTCCAACCACGGCGGAAGAGATAGCCGATCGTTGGTCCATCACCGACCCGGCCGACCAGGCATTTATGCTACCCCGATTATCGCCTCAGCCAACACTCACGTTCTCGCAAGCGGTGCGCACGGGCAATCCTGACGCAAACAACCTGCGTCGCGAGTTCATCCTGTGCAGCGAATCCGGGTTCGAAGCAGTGGCTGAGCAGGCCACCGCCTCCGGTTGGCCGGTGCACCGCATCGACACGGGGCATGACCCCATGGTTACCACGCCGCAGGAGTTGTCGACGATTCTCCTGGACATCGCCGGTCGGTGACTCGCCTGGTAACCGGTCGTCGCAGTGGCCCCACTGCCGACCGCGATGCCGGCGGCGCCTTATGCTAGGATATTCTCGCCAACCGGTGTCGCACGGTTGACCCAACAGCCACAGAGGGAGGCTCTAAAAATGGCAAACGAAGCATTGGGACTTGACGTCAGGGCCTGCATCTTCGACGTTTTCGGTACGGTAGTGGACTGGCGATCCAGCATCATCGCCCAGTGCAAAAACATGGGCCGTATCAAGGGAATCGAGAGGGATTGGGGATCCTTCGCCGACACGTGGCGCGGTAAATATCGCCCGTACATGGACAAGGTCCGCAACGGTGAACTTCCCTGGACAAACCTTGACGCACTGCACCGCATGTCGCTGGACGACGTTCTCGATGAGTATGAAATCTCCGGTTTCAGCGACGACGAAAAGATGGAGGTCACCTATTTCTGGCACCACCTCCAGCCGTGGCCGGACACGGTGCCCGGCCTGTACCGGCTCAAGTACAAATTCATCATCGCACCCATGTCCAACGGTAACATCGCCCTCATGACCAACATGGCCAAGAATGGCGGGATGCCCTGGGACTGCATTCTGGGTGCGGAAGTTGCTCAGCATTACAAGCCCGACCCGGAAAGCTATGGCACCGCGGTGAAACTCCTGGGCCTCAAGCCCGAGCAGGTGATGATGGTGGCCGCTCACCAGGGAGACCTCCTGGCCTCGGCCAAAGTAGGTTTGCGCACCGCCTTCGTTCCGAGACCCCGGGAACACGGCCCCGACCGCACGCCCGATCCGACTCCCGACCCGTCGTTCAACGTGGTAGCCGATAGCTTCGTTGACCTGGCCGCAAAGCTGGGGGCATAGGTTCGCAACCGCTACACCAACTCGGAAATGGCGAGGGCGACAGTTGAAAAACCGTCGCCTTTTTTTGCCAACCCAGGTCCACCCGGTCCTAACCCAAGCCCGAAGGTTCCAGGCCACATGCCCGGGCCACCAGTTCGTAGGAACGTACCCGGTCTTCAAAACTGTAGCAGATCGTAACCACGCTCAAGTCTGGCGTTTGGTAGTCTTCCGCCACTTTCTCCAACCCGGCTTTTACCTGTTCCGGATCGCCGTCCACGCATTTGCGCTGATACTGCTGGATAAATTGCCACTCGTTGGCCAGGTATTTGTAAGCCGAGGCCAACTCCGGGGACGGTATGCCCTTTGCCCGGCCCGTAACCGACCGGAGACGTCCCAGGTTGCGGCTCGACCCAATTCGCCTGGCTTCTTCCTCGGTATCGGCGCACAAAACCTGAACTCCCACATTGACCAGCGGCTGCTCCAGATTCTCCGACGCCTCAAAATTCTGGCGATATGACTCAACGATCTGGGGGCCATCATCGGGCCCCATACCGAAGAAATGAGCGTAGGCAAAGGGTAAGCCCATCTTCGCCGCCATAAACGCCGATTCATACCGGGAACCGAGCAACCAAACCTGTGGCGCGGTATCCGGCTCATCGGGTGAAGCCGCAATTTCATGGAACGGGTGATCGTCCGGTTGCGAGTCGTTCAAAAAGTTGACCACATCCCGCACCTGCTGCGGGAAATGCCTGATTTCTTTGGGCATGCTGGGATAGGCCAGCGCGGCGGCAGTGATCTGGTCGCTGCCGGGCGCCCGTCCGATTCCAAGGTCGATGCGATCGGGGTACAGGGCATCCAGCATGCGGAAGGTTTCCGCCACCTTCAGGGAACTGTAGTGCGACAACATCACACCGCCAGAACCAACCCGGATCCGTTGTGTATTGGCGGCAATCTGGCCCACCAGAACTTCCGGGGCCGTGCCGGCGAAATTGGGTAAATTGTGATGCTCCGCCACCCAGTAGCGGTTGTACCCCATTTTTTCGGCGGCCTGCGCCAGTTGGATTGTTTCCCGCAACGCTACACCGGCCGTGCTTCCCTCGCGCATCGGTGACTGGTCAACTACGCTCAATTGCAATTTTTTGCTCAACTTCGATCCCCTTTCTAGGAATTGCGGCTTATTTCGTCGGTTAACGTCCCCGGAACGGATGCCACTTTATCAATAATGGTTACTATCCCCAATTATTGGGTTGCCAGATCGTGTCCAACACACCTATTATAATAACGTCTGGCAACAAGCGTGGTGGGTCGCAGGATCCTCCGCCACACCCGATAATCCGGCGTTTTATTCTGCCGATTTAAGAAGGTGAGCTGTCTTGCTCTTCGACAAAATAATAGGCGCGAAACCGGGGGATGGCGGGAACCCAGCTGCCGGTAACGCACTTACTGCATCCAATTCCAGTAAGCACCTTCTTGAAAAGATTATCAAGTTGGTGCTTTTTATTTTGGCCATGGTATCCGTGTTCACCACGGTTGCCATCGTGGCGGTGCTGCTGTTTGAGGGCGTGAAGTTTTTCACCTCCGATTTCTATGAGAACAAGGCCCTGGAAGGTCTCGGCGTTAGCCAGGCAGCCCCGGCAACCGACGATGGTAGCCCGCTGCCGGTGGATGGCCTTACGCCCGGTGCAGTTCCCCAGGTGCAAACCACCGCGACGACTGATTCTCTGATCCACGTCAGCTGGCAACGCCCCACCAGCGGAGCCGAGCCAGCAGGATACGAAGTATCCATTTTGCCCGTGCTGGAAACCGATTTATCCGATTGCGCCAACCTGGCGCCTGACAGGACTTCCTGCGTCATCTCCGGTGGCAGTCCGGGTCGTTCGTACAAAGTGAGTGTGGCAGCGCTGGCGGCAACCGGCGCCGGGGACCGCCGTACAAACCAGTTCATTCTCGGTTCCCGAGTCGGTCCGGGTCCGGCGTTTCTTCACCGACACGAAATGGCGCACCCTGCTTGTGCCGCGTTCTTACGGAATCTGGCCCCTGCTGGTGGGCACCATGATGGTTGCGGTGCTGGCGATGCTGATCGCAGCTCCCCTTGGTTTGCTGTGCGCCATCTTCCTCAGCGAGTACGCTCCGCCCCGTTTGCGCGCCATCACCAAGCCGGTTTTGGAAATCCTGGCTGGAATACCCACCGTCGTATACGGCTTTTTCGCTCTCTTCTTCATCACCCCGCTGCTGCGCCTGATCAGTGACGACGTCGGCATATTCAACGCCCTTGCTGCCGGCATCGTGATGGGCGTGATGATTGTTCCCATGGTTTCCAGTCTTAGCGAAGATGCGATGCGCGCAGTCCCATTGGCGCTCCGGGAAGGTGCGTACGCCCTCGGCGCGACCAAGGTTGAAGTAGCGACGAAAGTGGTGGTACCAGCTGCTCTTTCGGGCATCGTCTCTGCCATCATCCTGGCCACATCCCGGGCGATCGGTGAGACGATGATCGTGTTCATCGCCGCGGGGCCAAAACGATTCACTCACATTCAACCCGCTGGGGCCCGTCAACACCATGACCGGGTTCATGGCAACCACCAACTTCAGTGATAACGCCATACCCGGAACCGCTCAATTCCAGGCGTTATTTGCGGTGGGAATCACCCTTTTCGTAATCACGCTGGTCATGAACATGATCAGCCAAACGGTCGTCACCAAGTTCCGCGAGGTGTACGAATAATGGCCGTGTCCAATCCCACCGAATATCGGCGCAAGTTGGTCAAACGCCGCCGCAACGCCGTGGTATTTCGCGGGGTGTGCGTGTCGGCGATCCTGTTGAGCCTGCTGATGTTGGCGGCGTTGCTATACAGCGTATTGGCGGAAGCGCTGAAGTGGTTCAATCTTGACGGCAGCTCAATCGTAACCCTCCTCACCGATATCCCCTCCAGCAAAGCCGTGGCCTCGGGCCTGTGGCCTGCCATCGTGGGCACCCTGTGGGTGATGGGCATCTGCATTGTGGCGTCGTTCACGGTGGGAGTGGCTGCCGCCATCTACCTGGAAGAGTATGCCGGAGGGCGGCGGATAGACGAGTTGATCCAGGTCAATATCCAGAACCTGGCCGCCGTCCCGTCCATTGTGTACGGCATCCTGGGCCTCACCATTTTCGTGGCGGTTTTCGCACTGGGCAAAAGCGTATTGACGGCCGGTCTGACGCTGGCGTTGCTGATAATGCCGGTGGTTATAGTTTCGGCAGAAGAAGCCATCCGCGCGGTGCCGTCTACCGTCAGGGAAGGCGGCTATGCGCTGGGGGCAACCCGTTGGCAGGTAGTGTGGCGACTGGTTCTCCCTCAGGCCATGCCGGGGATCCTTACCGGAATCATCCTGGCGGTCAGCCGGGCGATGGGGGAAGCCGCTCCGCTGGTGATCATGGGCGCCCTTTCTTTCGTGCCCTTTGCCCCAACCTCTCCACTGGATCGGTTTACCGTTTTGCCAATTCAGATTTACGTGTGGATCTCCAAACCGCAGGAAGAGTTCCAGCAACTGGCTGCCGCCGGCATCGTGGTATTGTTGATCATGCTGTTGGGATTGAACGCCGCGGCCATCCTATTGCGCAACCATCTCCAGAGCAAACACCGGGGGTAATCAGTTATGACAACCCAGGCAATTGCCACCGGCGCCGCAATCCGGTTTGACAACGTTGGAGTGTACTACGGCGAAAATCAGGTAATTGAAGATGTCTCCATGGAAGTTACTGAGAAGGAAATCACGGCGATCATTGGCCCCAGCGGCGGCGGAAAAAGCACTCTGTTGCGCTGCATAAATCGGATGAACGACCTCATCCCGTCGTTCCGCATGGAAGGCCAAGTCTGGTTCGGCGAGTATAACCTGTACGCTCCCGGCTCAGACCCGACGCAAATTCGCTATGAAATCGGGATGGTGTTCCAGCGGCCCAACCCTTTTTCCAAGTCCATCTACGAAAACGTTGCCTTCGGGCCGCGCATCAACGGGTACACGGGGAGTTTGGACGCCATCGTGGAGGATTCTCTCAGATCCGCCGCGCTGTGGGATGAGGTGAAAGACCGCCTGAAGGAATCGGGGCTGGCTCTCTCCGGTGGCCAGCAGCAGAGACTGTGCATCGCACGCACGCTGGCCATTCAACCCAGCGTGATCCTTATGGACGAACCCTGTTCTGCACTGGACCCCATCGCGACCCTGGCTATTGAAGATTTGATGCGGGAGCTCAAACAGCGCTACACCATCATTATCGTGACACATAACATGCAACAGGCCGGTCGGGTATCGGACAAAACGGCCTTTCTGATGCCCGACGAAAACCGCGTAGCGCATCTGATAGAATTCGACCAAACCTCACGCATGTTCACCAACCCGCAAGACGAGCGCACCGAGGCATACATCACCGGAAGATTTGGCTAATCCGTTCTGACGGCGGCAACCCCAACCCAAGGAGGCGCCGATATGTTGAGGTCAGAATTCACCCAGCTACTGGAAAATTTGCAGGCCGACCTGGCCGAAATGGGTCGTTTGGTCGATCAAACCACCCGACAGGCTCTGCAGGCTCTGCAAAACCGGGATGCCGACCTTGCCCGGCAGGTCATCGATAACGATGACGTGATAGACAACCTGCAGAACACGTTGGAGGAAGAGTGCGTCAGCCTGCTGGCGACGCAGCAGCCAATCGCCACCGATCTGCGCACGGTAATGTCGGTTGTGCACCTGGGGGTTGAGCTGGAGCGGATGGGCGACTACGCCGAGGGCATCGCAAAAATCTGCCTCCGCACCTATGAAGAACCACTATTAAAACCGTTGATCGACATCCCGCGGATGGCAGACCTGGCCCTGAAAGATGCTTAACGAAAGTTTACTGTCCTTCGCTGAGCGGGATGAGGAACTGGCACGAAAGGTATGCGCCGATGATGATGTGGTGGACGACCTGTATGACCAGATCTATCGCGAATTGCTCACCTACATGCTCCAGGATCCGCGCACCATACAGCGGGCAACTTACCTGCTGTGGGTGGCCCACGACCTGGAACGAATCGCCGACCGGGCGACCAACATCGCCGAACGCACGTTGTGGTTGATCTCCGGGCACACTGTCAGCAACCGCGACCTCAAATCCGACCGTACATTGCGCTAACACGTCCATCGCTGGACGGCGCAACAACCCCACTTGCCCACCAAAACGACGGACTGTACCAGTGAAAATCGCCCCGGTTCAGGTACGAATTCTCACAAAAAAACACCGTTGACAATTCCCGACCACGACTGTATAGTTTTCGCAAATGCACAGTAACTGCAAAAGCAACCAAACCTGTCTTTGTACTTGTACCTGTACCGAAAAAACGGGAGCAGGTTAGCAAGCACGGACAAAATCAAGCCCTAGCCCTGCGCCCACCAGAACCGCCAACCGGCTAAGGTGGGTCTTTTTTATGCCCGCGTTCGAAGGAGATTAACTTGACCAGCCAAGCTCACGCGCCCAACCAGAATGACATCCATGAAGCCAGCATGAATCTGGCGCCCGATGCTACCGGGATTATCCCGTTCATGGAAGACGAAATCGTGCGTTTCGATGCCGAAGTCGACCGGTTCCGGTCCGGCGAGCTGGACAACACAGTGTTCACGCCGTTCCGGCTGCGGCAGGGTGTTTATGGCCAACGCCAGGTCGACGTGCAGATGATCCGGGTGAAACTACCCGGCGGAATCGCCTCGGCCGACATGCTCGACGCCCTGGGCGAAGTCGCGGAACATTACGCCCCCTTGCAAAAGGGTCATATCACCACCAGGGAGAATATTCAGTTCCACCACGTTCCGCTGGATCAAACCTCCACCGCGCTCCGTTTGCTGGGCAAGGTGGGTCTGTCCACCCGCGAAGCTTGCGGCAACACCGTCCGCAACGTGGTTGGCCCTGCGACCGCGGGGGTTAGCCCGGAAGAAACCTTCGACCCGACGCCGTACCTGACCGCATACGTTCGGTTTGGCGTGCGCCATCCCATTACCCAAAATTTCCCCCGGAAGTTCAAAACCGCGTTCACCGGCAACGACCAGAGAGACGAAGTGGCGGCGGCCATCCAGGATCTGACTTTCGTTTCCCAATACAAGGAAATCGATGGCGAACAGCGTAAGGGATTCAAGGTTTACTGCGGAGGCGGAACGTCCATCATGCCCCGCCTGGCCAAACCGCTGTACGATTGGGTTTCCGAGGATGACTACCTCCGGGTGGCTTTGGCGATCTGGACTGTGTTCAACAACGCTGACATCCTTCGCAAGAATCGGATGATGGCGCGTCTGAAGGTCCTGATCGACAAGATTGGGCTGGACGAATTCAAACAAATGGTTGAAACCGAATTGGCCGGTATCGGCCCGATTGATCACCGGCCTTTGATGGTGGCGCAAGAGATCCAGCGCGAAACCCCACCCGCTCAACCCGCCGAAGCATCCACGGAAGACAGTCCCGAATACCGCCAGTGGTACGACACCAACGTCGCAGCCCAACGGCAGGAAGGGTATCACGTGGTTTATGTAAAAGCCTGTCCGGGGCGATCTCTCGCCCGAACAGTTCCACGGGCTGGCCAACATCGTGAGGGAGTATGCTGGCGGCAACGCCCACACCACACAGGAACAAAACCTGGTGATCCGTTGGGTGCCGACCGGCCACCTCGCCACTGTATGGAGAGCGCTGGTCGCTCTGAACCTCGGCGAGCCCGGTCACGACCACATCACCAACGTCGTCTCCTGCCCCGGGACCGACAGTTGCAAACTTGGTATCACCTCCTCCATGGGTCTTGCCGAGGCTCTTCGCTCTGAGATGCAAAGCTGGAATGGGATGCAGCAGGATGCCGGGGTTAAGGACATCCGCATCAAGATGAGTGGATGCCCCAATGGGTGCGGCCTTCATCACATCGCCAACATCGGGTTCCACGGGGCTGCCGTGAAAGGCGTGGACGGGCAGCAAATTCCATCGTACGAGCTTTTCCTGGGCGGCAACTACGGGGACAACCGCGTGGAAGACTCTCGCATCGGCACCAGGGTTCCCAAGGTTAAGGTTCCCGCCAAGCTCGTCCCATCGGTTCTCAAAGAAATCGTCACCTTCTATATGGACAATCGTGACAACGAGACGGAGCGATTCAACGATTTCCTGGAACGGGTCGGGATCGAAGAGGTAACCTCGGTGGCCGCGCGGGCCCAGGAGATCGGACACGAGGCCGAAGGCGGCGGGGAAATGTACTTCGACTGGGAACGAACCAACCAGTACGTGCTGGAACGCGGAGAAGGCGAGTGCGCCGTATAACCCCCCTTCCGACCTGCCCATGCCAGGCCCATCTCTAAACGGACGTGTGCTGGCCTTCGTCGAGGCTCGAATGCCCGACGAAATGGCCAGCCTTATCCGACGCCACGGCGGTGTTCCCCTGGGCGCTCCCGTGCTACAGGAACACTACCTGAAGGACAGCCCCCAGGTTCAACAAGCCATAACCGATGTGTGCAACGGAACGGTGGGCGTCGCGATCTTTCTAACCGGTGTGGGCACTCAGGCGATGATGGAAACCGCGGCGGCTATGGGTTGCCAGGACGAATTCGTCGCCAGCCTTCGAAATGCCACCGTGGTCGCACGGAGTCCGAAACCGGCCCGGGTATTGCGGCGTCATAAAATCCCGATCGAATCATGCCGCCGGAACCCTATACATCCGCTGACTTGACTGCTGCAATGTCCGAGCTGGCGCTGGACGGGGCAGAGGTTGTCGTGCAGCGCTACGGTGGCCCAGACTCTCAGCTCCCCACCTTCCTGCGGGCTCAGCGCGCCAACTACCGGGAACTCACCCTCTACGACTGGGGCCTGCCCGAAGACCGCGGCCCCGTTTTGTCCCTCATCAACGAAATGGAGCAGGGCCATATCGACGCCCTGGCATTTACCAGCCGACCCCAGGTGCCCAATTTGCTGACCATTGCCGCCGAAGCCGGTAAAGAAGACTCTCTGCGGCACTGCCTGTCTGGACCGGTTGCCGTTGCGTCAGTGGGCCCCGTGTGTACCCGGAAGCTGGAGGAATGCGGAATTACCGTGAACGTGGAACCCGAACATCCCCACATGGGCAACCTGGTGTTGGCGGTTGCTGACTACTTCAACGACGCCAGCTAGTATTTCGGGCCGGCCGCGCGACGTTAGTACTTAAACTCCTCGCGCACGGGGCTGAATATATCCAGAGCCACGGCGCGGGTTCCCTGTCCCTGGGCGTAGTGCTCGACATCTCCCGGGATGATGTACATGTCTCCCGGCTTCAACAGCTTCACCTCGCCGCCGATCCCCATCTCCAGTTCGCCTTCAACGATGATCCCGCCCTGTTCGTGGGGATGGGTATGCAGAGGCACCAGCGCCCCTGCCTCGACTTCCACCAGGGAGAACAGCATCTGCGCGCCCCAAAAAGTCCGCGTGCGGGCGCCGGGCGCAAGCTCCTTGTATCCTCGATCGGTGGTTTCCAAAAAGTAATCGCTCATTTGATATTACCCTCCGCAGGTGCTGCGTGCCGTGGAGTTTATCACCGTGAGTGCGTGATAATCACGCTGTTCGAATCCGGAACCAATGCCGCGGAGACTGGTGAAACGGCCCCCATCTCCGATGATCAAATGATCGTGCAATTCTATGTCCATAAGTTTCCCGGCGGCCACCAAGTCTCGCGTCACCGCCACATCCTCAGGGCTGGGGGTCGGGTCCCCGGACGGATGGTTGTGCGCCACTATGATGGACGGCACGTTCTCCCGAATCGCCGGTCGCAGCACCTCAGCGGGACGCACCGCGCTGCTGTTGACCGTACCCATATAAACGGTGCGCTTAAGCACCATCCGGTTGCGCGTGTCCAACAGTAAAACCACCAGATTCTCCTGATCCAGCGCCGCCATTTCCGGCGCTATCAGGTTGACTGCGTCCTGGGCGCATGAGATTTGCGGCCGTTCGGCTGGCGGTAGCGCGGCGACACGGCGCCCCAACTCCAGGGCTGCCATTACCTGGCACGCCTTGGCATCGCTCAACCCGCGCTCCCGGATCAACTCCCCATAATCCGCCTTCGCCAGACCAGCCAGGCCACCGAAATCCGCCATGATCCGCGATGCCATGCTGACGGCGTTCTCACCCTTCATTCCGGTTCGCAGGAGAATCGCCACCAATTCCGTGTTGGACAATTCCCGCGAGCCCCTTTGCCGCAACCTCTCCCGTGGTCGCTCGCCGTTGGGTAATTCCCGGATCGTTGGTTGGGCCGGGTCGGCTGGCCTCTGCGGTGATGCCGGAGCAGCCGAGGGCGCTACGCATTCCGGCGTTCGCACCGGGCCGCCCACACCATTCGCCCAAGTGACCAATTGGGTCAACTCGGCGTCAAATTCCTGCCTCGACCGTGCTGCCTCAACCGGTTTCGCAACGACCATCAGCCCCTCCTCCGCAATAAAACATCGCCGCCCAGTGTAAATAACCGACCGGCGATGTTGCTACGGGTAGGTGTCAGCAATTCGACTGGTAGACGCAGCCGCTAATCGCCAAGTCTAATTGAACTGGAACTTGGAGAAGGTGCCCTCTTCCTTGGTTATGAATTCCAGCAACGCCGGGCGTCCGTTGGCGTTGGCTTCCATGGCTCGTTGCATCGCCGGGCTTAATTTCATCGGGCGTATGAATCTGCTCGGAGTAAGCGCCCAAAGCCAACCCGACCTGATAGAAATCGCCGCTCAATTCCTTTATGTTATAGCGTTCCACAGCGGTCGGTATGCGGCTGTCGGGGTAAATGGCCATCGTCGAGTTGTTCATCACCACGGTGGTGATGGGTATGCCGCAGCGCACCGCCGTTTCCACGTCCAGGCCTACCATGCCGAACGCAGCATCGCCCATGAAGTTGATAACCATCTTTTCCGGAGCGGCCATCTTGGCCCCCATGGCCAACCCCAGGCTGTACCCAAGTTGCGTTGACTTGCCCCAGCCGATAAAGCTGCGGGGCGCCCTGGCTTCCCAGAACGGCGATACCTGCTCGCGCGGGCTTCCCGACTCGTGGGTCACGATTGTGTTGTCCAGATCCACGGTGTGCATGATGTCCCACACCACCCGATAGGGGTTTAGTGGAATCTCGTTGCTGGTCAACCGGGGCATCCACTCGGCAAGCCAGGCTTCCTTCAAGGCCGCAATCTCGTCCGCCAGTTCCTGATTGGCCGCCCGAGCCTGCACACCCTGAGCTTTCAGCTCATCGATAAACTGCCGCAGCGCCAGCTTGGCGTCTGCCAGTATCGGGTATTCAGACCGATAATCCTTGTTGATGTCATCGTCGCCGTTGGTCAAATGAATCAGGGTTTTGCCGGCGGGGATTGGCACCGTAAAACTGCTCTTTGTGAAACTGACGCCCACGCCGAATACCACGTCGGCATTGGTGAGGAAACGTGTACCTGACCGGTTTGGCTCGATCCGCCGATTCCTAGTGATAGCGGGTGATTTTCCGGGAACGCGCTCTTGCCTTCCAGGGTGGTCATCACGGGGATCTGCAGCAACTCTGCCAGTTCCAACAGTTCAGCCGTGGCCTCAGCGTACATGACGCCCTGCCCGGCCATGATCACCGGGCGGTGCGCCGACATCAACCCGCGCACCGCTCGGGTGATCGACTGGGGATCAGCTGCCGTCCGCATGTGCTGGGGCGGAATGTAATCGAAATCTTCTTCGCTGATTTCGTCTGATGACAGATCCTGCGGAATTTCAAGGAGAACCGGACCCGGCTTGCCGGAACGCAACTTGGTGAAGGCCTGGCGCATGAGTTCAGGTACGCGGTCGGCATAATTGACGTGGGCTGCCCATTTCGTAATCGGTTCGTAGGCGCGAACCGGATGGAAATTGGGTTCAACCCCAACTCGCTTTCGGGCCACTCCAGCCGGCAATATCAGTATCGGCACTGAATCGGCATAAGCCTGCGCCACGCCGCCGAACGCGTTCTCGGCGCCCGGCCCGTTCTGAGCCAGGAAAATACCCGTTTTCTTACCGTTGTTGACCCGGGAGAACCCGTCTGCCATGTGTACCCCGGTGCGTTCCTGCCGACAAACCACCGGCCGGATTCCCGCGATGGCGGCGGCTTCGATCAGCGGGTTGGACGGCATCACCGCAATCCACTCCACCCCTTCCATTTTTAGAACATTGGCTATTGCTGTAACTCCGTCCACGTTTATGCTCCTTGTGTGTTAATGGTCGATCGGCCTGGAAATGCGATTCAGCCGATTGACGCCAGGAAACTGTCTATCGCTGAATTGACCTCGTCGGGCTTTTCCACCATGGGGAAATGGCCGGCGTTTTTCATCTTGATCAATTGGGAACCGGGCACGGCGCGGTGGATCTCTGCTTCGTAATCGCCAGTGGCCAGCGGGTCATCTACTCCCTGAATCAACAGCAAGGGCGCTCTCAAGGTGTGAATGCGATCCCGCACATCGAACCCGTCTATAACCACCAGGTCCCGGTATTGCGCCACCGGTCCCACGTCACGATGTCGCTGCAACAAACTGGCTCGCAATTCCGGCTCTACAAAGTGCATCACGCCGTCCATCATTCCCAGCCACTTCTCGTAAACCTCGGCGTCGGCGTCGGCGTCGGCGTCCAACCGGAACTGCAAATCCTGGGGGCGGCGTTGCTTGGGGCGCATGGCAATGGTCATCAACGCCAGCCCGCTTACTTCATCCGGATAATCCAGGGCGTATTGCAGCGCGATGCAGGCCCCCAGGGTAAACCCGCTCAGCACCAGATTTCCGGTGATTCCCTGGGCGTGCAACCAACCTCTCAACCAATCGGTATACCGCTCCACACTGCTGCAAGGACTGCCGTCCAGATGCCCGGGCAAATGGGGCGCCAGGCTGCCCGGGTAATGGGACAACTGATTGACGTATGAATCCGCACAACCGCCCGCCCCGGGGCCATGAATAAAGACCAACTGTGTCATATTAAACCTGATGCGCCGATAGGCGCTCTCGCACAATCTGGGGATGACGGCATTCTAGGGGTAGTCGTCTAACGGGTCAAGGCAAACCGATTTCTCAACTTCCTGACCATCCCGCAACGCGCTCGGGTGTAATTTTGATTACCGGATTGCCATCAAGCGCCATGGCGCGATATTGGGGATACTTTTCGCGCAGGATTTCGACGGCGCGTTCCTGTTCTGCACCTTCGTAGATCAACTGCGCGGCGCCAGAAATCAGGATGTACCACAGCTGCGTCCAGTCCTGATCGTAGTGGTCCACCACCAGCGAAACGTGAGGATTGGCCAATATGTTGCGAACCCGGCGCAGACCGGTCAGGCTACCGCGTTTGGGCTTGGCGTCCAACACCGAATAGATCGACTGGCCATCCAAGGCAAAACAGATCGGTATCACATGCGGCCGTCCCCGGGCGTCGGCGGTCGCCAGGCGACCCACCGGGGCCTGATTCAGTCGCTTGATCTGTTCTTCTGTCATGTTCGCTGCCTTATCCACGATGATTCGTCGCCGGCATCACGACGCGCCCGTGGGTCTTTGGTCACTGCCGAACAGAACGGCGCAAATCCGTCATCACCCGGGGTAACAGGTCCAGCAAGTCGCTAGCCAGAATACCCGCTTCGCCTCTGATATGCCGTATCCGCTCCGCCGCCGTGCCGTGAATGTAGCCCCCCAACGCGGCGGCTGCGAAAGGATCCAATCCCTGAGCCAGCAGGCCCCCGACTATCCCGGTCAACACGTCACCAGTTCCTCCCGCTGCCAGAGCGGGATTGGCAAACGGCAATACCCAACGCCCGCCGTCTGGAGAGGCCACCACGCTGTGTGCGCCCTTCAACAGCACGCATTGATCCCAATACTTGGCCCAGCTCGCCGCAACTGCCATCCGGTCTGACTGAATTTCCGGCGTGGCCAAACCCGTCAACGTTCCCATCTCACCCGGGTGGGAGTAAGCACGGCCGGGCCCGTCAGTCGGTTGCTCCAGTCCCCGCAACGAGACAGATTGTTCAGGCCGTCAGCGTCGATTACCTTGGGGAGAGACAACAATTGATCTCCCTCCAATAGCAGATTCTCCAGAAACGCCGCGGCGCGCGCAGACGCGCCCATTCCGCACCCGATCGCCAACGCCGAATAACTGCCGATCCTCTCCTGAATATTCTCAACGGCGGAGACGTCGATGCGGCCATGGGCATCTTCGGGCAAAGGGAGGTGGATCGTCTCCGTCAGCCTGGCCGCGGCAAACCGGTACACCGATTCCGGCGCTGCCAAAGTAACCAGACCGGCGCCGGAGCGGTGGGCTCCCTGGGCGGCCAGATACGCAGCGCCGACAAAATTCCTGGAGCCGGCGATTATCAGCAGGTGGCCGAAGGTACCCTTGTGCGAATTCAGGGGGCGAGCCGGAAGCAGCGATGCCGCCACGTCGTCGGTTACCCAAACGTCCTGCAATCCCGATTCCTCCAGCACCGCCGCCGGCAATCCGATGTCCAGCACGGTGATGCGACCGGCGTAACCCGCCCCGGGGAAATTGACGATGCCGAATTTGGGACAGCACAGGGCCAAAGTTTCGTCAGCGATTATTGTTGCCACATCTGCTTCCCCGGTGTCGGGATTCACGCCGGTGGGCAAATCCAGCGCTATGACGCTCAATTTTCCGGCGACTCGGGAATGATTCACCCTGATTGCCACTTCCTGCACCACACCCGACAACGGCCGATACCGTCCCGCCCCCAGGATTGCGTCCACAACAACGTCGCACCGTAGCAGCACCTCGTCGAGGGCGCTCAGGTCAGTGTCATCTTCAGCGTCAACCACCCGTACATCGTAGGGCTCCAGGGCCCGTATCTTTACATCGTCCTCGGGACGCCCTCGTGCGACGTAGCAGCATACATCGGCGCCCCACCGGCGCAGGTGTCGCGCCACCACCAGCCCGTCGGCTCCGTTGTTGCCAGGGCCCACCAAAACGACCACACGTCGGCCCGCAGCGCCTCCCATGCGATCTTTGATCCGGCGAGCGCAGGCCAGCCCGGCGTTTTCCATCAGCGTATCGGTGCTCACACCCCTGCGCTCCGACGCCGCTTCCAGCGCCTGCATATCGGCCACCGAAACAATGTTGGTCGGTATCACGGTAACGGCGATTGCACAGGTATGGTAGGCGCCATCTAGCTTGCGGCCGGTAGCGCGGCCTGCGGCGCGGTTGATTCTCCCCAGAGTGTCGCGCTCGTAGCCGCCAGGGAATCCACCGTATCCGGTCGGCTCGCCACCGCGAAAGCCACCGCGAAACCCCTGGAATGGGAAAGACTGATGGCAATCTCGGTTACACCCAACCGCTCGGCTCGCCGCAATGCCCTGCCGTGCAGCCGTGGACTGGGAGCGCCACTGGGAGCGCGCACGACTTCCACGTCCCGCCATCCCACACCTCTGAATCCAGTTCCGAGGGACTTCATCACGGCCTCTTTCGCGGCGAACCTGGCCGCCAGATTGGGCGCGCGGCCCCGGCAATATGCAATCTCACCCGGCGTGAACACCCGGCGCAAGAACCGCTCTCCGTGGCGTTCCAGCACCCCAGCCACCCGCTCAATCTCTATGAGGTCAACTCCGGTGCCCAGCATGGTCTTCCACCGTGTCTCCTGCCTTTAGTCTCAGCAGTGCCCGTCCAGGCGCAATTCCTGCAAAATTCGCGAGATCGAATATGACCGATTCAACACGTAAAAATGCACACCCGGTACGCCGTTGGCCCACAAATCCCTGAACCTGTCTGGTAGCGTGCTCCACGCCGATTTCGCGAACCGCTCGATTATCATCGGCAAAACGCTCCAGCTTCTGGTCCAGGTCGGCGGGGATCGTTGCGCCGCAGAGCGATGTAAATCTCCTGATCTGAGGCGTGCTCAATATGGGCAACACACCCGGAACGATGGGGACTTCAATCCCGGTTTTCTCGGCGCGTTCGAGCAAATCGTAAAAATGACTGTTGTCGTAAAACAGTTGGGTGATGAGAAACTCAGCGCCCAGATCCTGTTTCATACGAGCGTATTGGAGGTCGGTGTCCAGGTCCTGGGATTCCGTGTGCCCCTCCGGGTAACACGCGCCGGCAATGCCCATGTCAAAATGTTGCCGGATGTGCTGGATCAGATCGGTGGCGTGGGGGAATTCCCCCGGAAAGACGGCATCGGCGTCCATGTCCTGCGGTCGGTCGCCGCGCAGGGCGATTACGTTTTCAATGCCCGCGTGGTGGAGCCGGCTCAAAACTCCGTGGACTGCATCCTGACTCTGCGCCACGCAGGTTAGGTGGGCCATCACTTCCAGACTGGTCTCGCTGGCCAGCTGCACCGTTATCTCTTCGGTAAACGCCCGAGTGCTGCCCCCTGCTCCATAGGTCACTGACACAAAGTCCGGATTGTATCTGGACAATCCCTTGATCACGTCCACGACGCCGGGCACGGCATCAGCCTCCCGAGGAGGGAAAAACTCGAACGAAACCGTCCGCTTCTGTTGCAATATATCCTTAATCTTCAAACTGAATTTCCCTTGGTTATCCGGCAGGCGAATGAACCATAGTGTCGGCCCGGATCAACCACTCCACGCGGCCCGGTTTGATATGAGCTGCGCTATACGCTAAAACTCCGGCTGCCGCTTTTCCTTAAATGCTGTAATCCCCTCCCTGGGGTGTGGAGATGTCGCAAACAAATGGGTAAACGTCGCGCCCTCCAGCGCTATGCCGTCGCGCAGCGGCACGTCCTGGCTGCTTTTGGCAGCGATTCTATCACATCCACAACGGTGCGACTTTTGCGCAGCTGGTCAACAGATGTTGCCAGCGGATCAGCCCCAGGAAGTTAGGCGGGCGCGGAACGCAACGCGAGTCCCCATTCCACGGCCTCGCTGCCAGAAAGCCATCGGCCCGTTGTCAGCAGTTCCATTGCCCGGGGCATGCCCACCCGACGGGGCAACCGTTGTGTCGAACCGCCACCGGGTATCAGACCGAAATTTGCGTGCTGGTCCCCGATTCGGGCGTCATCGGCAACGATAGCCATATCGCAGGCCATCATCAACTCCATACCGCCGGCGAGAGCATACCCGTGGACAACCGCGATGGTCGGTATGGGGAGCGACTCCAACGCAAAAAAGGCGTCGTTCAATGCCCGAACGTAATCAGGGAGCTGCGAAAGGTCGTCAAAAACGCGGTCGAAGAAAAGCAGGTCTGCGCCGGCGCAAAACCCCCGGCCAGCCCCGCGCACTACCAGCGCCTTGATTGATTCGTCGCGCTCCACGGACGCCACCGCGTGGGTAAATTCCGACAGGAGTTCCCGACTCAGAGCATTCAACGCATCGGGGCGATTCAACCGCAGTGTCGCGATTTGGTTGTCAACCCTAAGATCATGTGAATACTCATTAGCCCTCCCAAGGCTGCGGGGTGTGTGTTACGCCACCGCGATTACTATACCAGACTGGTCGCGAGCGTTGATGTCGGAGCCCACCGCATCCAGGTTACTACTACGTGTCCAGCCGGGCGCACAGCGCTCAGAGATAACCGGATGGGGTAGGTAGTTGTGTGATGGGCCTGGCGCTGTGGAATGGGGAAAGCTTGCGGGTACGGGTCGCTGTTTCCCCGACCAGAGGCAAAGCCAACGCAGCCGTTATCGCTCTTTTGTCCGACTGCCTCCACCTGGCCCGCGCTGACGTGAAAATCGTGCGGGGCCTCAGTTCCCGCGATAAGGTGGTGCTCATTTCTGGATTGGACAACAACGAAATGAACCGCCGGTTGCAAAACATTATCGACGCGACAAATCCCGCGACATAAACTCTCTCAGCATAAACTCTGTAGTGGAAGGTTCGGACCCTCGATGCAAGACAGTTTTCGTAATTTCAGCTGGATTCTCACTGGATCCCTCGCCGGCTCCATGGGCCCGGCCGAGCGACGACACCTCATTTATTTCGAACGCCTCGACATTACCGCCATCGTTCGCATGGAAGAAAACACCATATCCGCCGCGCCCTGGGGATTTGAAGAACTCTTCGAACCGGTACCAGATTTCGCAGCGCGACCGTTTGGAAAACAGATTCGACGCCATCGTAACGTACAAGAACAAGAAGATCGAAAACCCTGGGGGAAAAGGCCACGGTGGTCACGTGCGCTGCCGGGATCGGACGCACCGGCACCATTCTGGCAGCCTATCTGGTACATACGGGATGGGAACCCGACGAAAAAGCGCAAAAGGCGAAAAGCGACCAAAAAGAAAGCGAAAAACCAAACAAGCAAAAAAAACAAAAGAGGCAGAGGGAGAAAAAAAAAAAGAAAGGCGACACTGAAAAAAAAAAGCGGAAAAAAAAAAAAAAAGAGACCAGGCGGATAAGAGCGAAGCGAAAAAAAAAAAAAAAAAACGCAAGAAGAGAGGCGAACAAAAAAAAAAATCTATCTAACAACAATAAAAACACAAATTTTCTTCTAAAACGCAAAACAAAATCTAACACCAAATATAAAAAAAATAAAAATAGAGAAAGTTTCTTAGAATTATTTTCCTACTTAAATGCATCCCCTATGTCATTGGGATGAATCGCCGTCGCGAGATAAAGCGGCTGTACAGGATATAAGATAATTATAGGGTGCCGGATAAGTTCTAGGATTTAGGATGGGTTTAATTCATCATATCAAGATTGAGGATAATAAACGGTATAAATGTCTGTTGTGTTATCATCGTGTGTGACTTGTCGGAATCTTATGGACAACGATCGCAATACTTACCAAATTTTTCTTTGGTTATAGACTAACTCTAAAAAAAGGTAACTGTCGAACCATTCGGGGCTCAAAGTTCACGGCGTCTCACGAAATCATAAATAGGAGGGCGGTCGATCGCTCGGCCGGCACTATCGGTAGCAACGCGCGAAGGGAATATATCCATGTGAAGAATCCATGCTGAAATTACGAAAACGGCTCTTGCACAATCGAGGCCCAAGGGAGATGGGTACCAGAAACCCCAAACTAACAGAGTTATCGCGCTGAGAGCAAGTTTAACGTCGCGATAAGGGAGTTGTACCGCGTCGATACCCATCTGTTGTGAGCACACACCCGGCGGATGTCCCTTTTGTATCTTGTCTTGTCAATCCAGAATATATGAAGCACAACACTAAATATCGCAGAGGAAAACATGAGACAGCCACCCGCCACAGATTTTGACACACCGATAACACAGCCAGCCTCGGGCCAGGTGGATGGAAACCCACAAAAGTCGGGACAGCAATAGCAGAATCTAGACAACCGGGACTGCGTTACAGCGCTTGCCATATAATTCGGTATCGAGGAGGGACCAACAAAAAGCGGACCCGCAACCACGCAAGATTCTACCCACTCTCATGCCAGCCGGTTATCCCCAATGAGCGCATGTGCGCACCCCATCAGCTGCTTGGACACCCAAGTCAAGTAAAGTAACCTGGATGAAGGGGGGACTTACCGTACATCATACCACGCTCATCCGCCGGAACCAGTCGTTCCAATGGTATAGTAATCGCTGGTGGCCGAGAAACGATAAAAACAACACCCCGCAGCACTATGGGAAGGAGCTTGAGGACGTAAATAATCACGCACACGCACATTGGAGAAGTGAGGTGACCAACACAAAATCGCGCCAAAACTGCAGGTGATCATCGCCCATGCGTTCTGCCTGCAAAATGCTCTGAGTCCGGCGACAAACTCACTCCATTGCTTCGGAACATCTTTATACCCCATCCGCAAAGGTGGCGTACCGAATGGAGCGACGAAAACGAATCTACCATCAAGCACAAAGAGCTACTATCTAACAGGGCAAACGTCGCGCGGGGCTGGACCGTCCGGGGTTTGCGCCACGGCCGCACGACCTGCTTTTTTCTAGCACGACCACAGCGATTTTAGACGAAATACCCTTTACGCAGATCACCTGATTTCATCGATTATATCAGGGCTATTGAAACGACGCCTTTTTTGCGTTGGAGTCGCTCCCCATACCGACCATCGCGGTTGTCCACGGGTATGCTCTCGCCGGCGGTATGGAGTTGATGATGGCCTGCGATATGGCTATCGTTGCCGATGACGCCCGAATCGGGGACCAGCACGCAAATTTCGGTCTGATACCCGGTGGCGGTTCGACACAACGGTTGCCCCGTCGGGTGGGCATGCCCCGGGCAATGGAACTGCTGACAACGGGCCGATGGCTTTCTGGCAGCGAGGCCGTGGAATGGAAGGGGAATCGAGTTTGCGTTCCGGCCCGCAGAAAAAAAACTCCATCAACAACCTTGGGAGGCTGAGCGGACGGAAACTTGTTGACCAGCCTGCGCCCCAAAAGTCGCACCGGTTTGGAATTGATGAAATCGCTTGCCAAAAGCAGCCAGGACGTGCCGCTGCGCGACGGCATAGCGCTGGAGGGCGCGACGTTTACCCATTTGTTTGCGACATCTCCACACCCCAGGGGATGGGGAGACAGCAATTAAGTAGGAAAAAAGCAGCGGAGTACAGTCAAACGGTAAAGACAAAAAGTTATTAGCAGTATAAGCAGAATGACTCGGTTCTAATAAATCACAACCATTACAAGAGGACAACGACGACTGGAAGTCGGTTGATAGGGACCGGAAACCAACTCTGGCTTCATTCGCCCTATATTGCACTACAAGGATGAAAATCACAATAAGGTTGACAATTACAAGTTGAAAAGATTTAAAGCGATTACTGATTGTGCAACAGAAAGCAGTAGCATCTGGTTCGTTAACGAGTCAAATATTTTCCCTCC